GAGAGAGAGAGAGAGAGAGAGAGAGAGAGAGAGAGAGAGAGAGAGAGAGAGAGAGAGAGAGAGAGAGAGAGAGAGGAAACAAATAGCTCCTTATTTGAAAACCCCTGGGGGTCATTTGTGAGGCCCTTGCACATAATTGGCAAGGGCTACCTCACCGTGAACGAGGTACTGCTCATTGCAGAGTCATGGCACACCAAGTATATATGCTGTTGATTCACATTAAGGTCCGTGTTTCAGGAGTTATGGGACCACTGAGCACGCGAGTTTCTGGGCAGTAGAAGGCCAACTCCCCACGTGCTTTCCAGGGCTTCCCTCCACTACTCACCAAACGTGCAAAACTAGAATGAATCTTCTGCTAAGACATGGAACCATACACCGCCATATGATTCGTCTTTTTTGCAAGTGGTGACGAGTGGAGCAAGGCCCTTCGGGCCACTGCTCGTAGGAAAAGAAAACAAAAGAAAGAGAGGAATGAATCTTCTGCGAGAACATAAACTCATACACCGCCATATGTTTTGTCTTTTGTGCAAGTAGTGACGAGTCGAGCAAGGCCCTTAGGGCCACTGCTCGTAGGAAAAGGAAACAAAAGAAAGAGAGAGCTACGGTAGTAAGTAGTTGTAACGTGTAACCCATAACTGCTGGAAAGCAGACCTGACTTCGGGTCCAGAACATATATTGCTGGCCTGCTCCATTCTCACATGAAATTTGCTGAACGTCTCTTGAGACGTTGGGACCTTTGCAGATGCACTGGGGTCCTTCGGGAAAAGGACAATTCAACAAGGAAAACGTGTGCTCAATTTTTTTTTCTGTGCCCTTCGACATTTTAGAAGGGAGGGGCACCATTGGCTACCTCAGCCAGCCCTCTCCAAATTTTTTTTTTACTCTATTTATTGGGGTGCGCGCGCATGGTTGCGCATGCACTAGGCACCGCACGTGCGTAGCTCGCCAGCACGCGATGCGCCGGAGTATAGGGGTGATATAGGGGGTTATGGATAGTTTAATAAGGGTGTTGGCGGCTGTTCGGGGCTGTTGGGGTGGTATATGGGGTATTGGGGCCCGCTATGGGGGTGTTGGTGATATTATTAGGGGTTCTGGACCCCATTAAAAAAAAAAAGAAATGCGGGGTGCCAACAACCCCCGACCAGTAGGTGCCGACCAGCCAACCGGTCGGCGGGTCGGCAGCCGACCAGTCAAGGGTCGCCGACGGTCGGGGTGTGCAACACTGACGCAGGCCATTACAGTTTAAAAGTTAACCCCCCCCAAACCCCAGTTTTTACCCACTTGGTTATCCCGGCCGGGTGCCCCCTAGCCCCTGCTCAGCATACCGTTGCATGCTTTTTGTTGGGGCAATCCCAGCTCTTCCATGGAAACTAAAAGACCTAAGCTTGATTATTTTATTTTTTTCCAAATCTTGTTGGATACTGTTCTTTAATTTTTTTTCTTTCAATATTTCTGCCATGCCACACCACTTCCGGTGCCATACAGCACACCACGAGTGCTGTATGGTAACAAGACGTATTTCAGTTAACTTCCTGGAATAAGGTACTTCAGGGAAGTTAACTGAGGTATATCAGGAAAAGATAAAGCTGGCTTTAGCACTTCAGCAACACCCCCACAGGAGGATCATTCAATCTGGACTCCATTGCCGAAGGCCACCCAGACAACTACTAACCAACAGTCTCTAGGCAAAGGCATCATCACCCCTACTACCGTCTTCACCCGAATAAAACACCTGCTCATTATCACTGCATCTGGACTGAAAGTTGTGCCAAATGCAGCTATAATGACCGGGCATTTTATTCGGGTGAAGACTGTTGCACTTTGATGAGCACCATGTACGGACAACCTTGTGGACTGCTTCAAGAGAGAACAGACAGGGCTTTGAGCAAAAACAGTGTTAAGTAGATAACCTGAGACAAGAAGAGGAGAAGAGGAATGAGAGGCGGGGACACACATCATCCTGCACTGCGAACTCCAGTGGAAGATAAGTTTCAATATGAGATAACGCCATCTCTCACCATCGCAGCACATTGCTGATCCTAATGAAGGAGAGAATCATACCTGCTGGATATGGGGAGCAAGCTTCGAAAGGGATTGGCAGTACGGGAGAATTGCCTGCGCATAACAAAGAAAGAGCACATGGCATCAACACAAAGTCAAACAAACACAAAGAAGACTGTCAATGGATGATGACCAGTAGTCATTACAGTCAACTTCACGACTAGATGACGGGTGTTGAAGAGACGGTAATCTTTATATCCAACACCTACGGTTTCTAAAAAACAGAAACAGAATTCAAATATTTGGTTAGCAGGGAACAAGCTGCGTTTCCATTGACATTTTCAAAGTGACAGATGGTTGAGACAGCGAAAAGGGACTCTGCAAGAAAAAAAGCATCCGGTGTCCTACCTAAGGCAGCTGAAACCCAAGCCCAAAATCTCATCAGGTACTTTAACCCGATCGCTCTACCACTTCCATCGCACAATGTCCAAGGAGGAGATCTGACACCAAGACTCGATTACGACAAAAAGAGAGAGAGCTTTCCTTCCCCAATTTACATGACTTCATTTTGAAAATTATACATTAAATCTAATTTTACATTACTTCTAATCAGATGTTCACGAGGAAGAAGAGCAAACATGCTCAAGGTAGATCTCCTGGCCCTGAAGACAACAGAATCCCGGCTCCCAAGCATTTCCAGCGGTCATCATTGATATGAATTCATGAAATATAGGGCCTTCGCTCCAACACTCTCCGCATGCACAAAGACAGAGTATGGCGGTGGTGTATCTTTTCCATGTTCTAGCGTATTTGGTGAGTACTGGAGCGAGGCCTATACTCCTCTTCTGGAAAAGAAGAAACCTGGCCAGTGCATGGGTGTCAAAACAAAATCACACACAAAAAAAAACTGCAAAAAAAGAGGAACCCAAGTAAAAAGGGAAAAGAAGCAAACTTAGCTCGAACTCCACTGGGAGCGAGGCCTATACCAACTGGCCTAGCTCAGACTTGGTACACACCTGAACTGAACTGTTGAAAAACAAACTTGAAAAAAAACTTGAATTACAGACCTGAGCTCGAACTCCACTGGGAGCAGACGAGTAAAATATTACAATTATAAGTTACCCAGGGCCGTTCAGTTCCATGCGATATCTGAAGGCCGTCACCCTTTTTTTGCAATTAAAAAGAAACGAAGGGCATAGATAATCATGTCACATAGCTTTAGGCAGTCTGAATAAATTGCAACCAGAGGCACAAAACTTTTACAAGTTACAAAACAACATTGATCGTGCACCGGCCATTGAGGCAGCATGTGGACAATCTCTGTGCAGATAAATGGCAAATTTGACATTTCACTGCTCACGGCTTTTGCTGTGGAAGCATGGACTCAAGTTTGTTTACCACATTATCAGCTCCATCACACAGAGCAACAACCTTGTTCTATGACAAAAAAACAAGGCGCGCTTTTCAATGATTAAACTCTCTGCACCTCCAACTGCACGACATATCCATGCAAGGCAATGTAACAGCGGATTTAGCCGCATTAACGTTGACGATTTACAAGCAGTTATCACGAACAAAACACACACACACACACACACACACACACTATTAGAAGTTAAAACCTGCAGACAGTCATGGACCGGACCAACCAAAGAGACGGATCATGGGAGAAGAGAGACAGCGCAGTTTGTATATTTATTATTTGCCGTTTCACTTACCCTTGATGGGTAGCCAAGGAAGGTTGCATTCCACACTCCAATGAGGCCAAGAAGAACCTGTCGCAGCCAAGGTGAGCAACAATGCAATAAACACATGCAACATGACACAGCACCACATAGAATAATCAGCTCCTTTCCCTCACATATACTGTAATTGGAGATTCCATCACCAACCTCCAAGTCTGTGGACTCCATCAAAGCATAATCTACGTGGGACCACCACTGCCCCTTTGCTTCGGATTCAGCAGTAGTACAGTTCAACCAGATGCAGGTCGCCCAGTACATCCAAAGCACCACCTGCTGATATACTGGCTCATCTGTGGGGCTGTTGTTCAGACCACCGGTACTTGGGACCCTTATTTCCTACTCCATGAGCTTCTGCGTGCCTTTGAATCGAACTGGGCGCAGGCCGGCCCATACATGCAGGTCCTCCACAGGCCAGTCCATACATGCAGGTCGTCCATCACATCCAAAGCACAGCCCGCTAATATGCTGGCTCAACTGTGGGGCTGTTGTTCAGACCAATACTCGGGGCCCTTCCTTCGTCCTATGTGAGGCTCTGCGTCCCTCTGAATTTAACTGGGCGCAGGCCGGTCCATTATTCCCCACCACGCAAGCGTGTATACGGGCACACGTTTGGAAATACTGCTGTTTCCTTTTTCTGGTGTTCAGGGGAGCCTGACGTCGAGTATTTCCGGGGGAAAGAATTTGCTGAGAAACTGAATCAAGAGGTGGCTTTCATCTGTGCTCCAGATATCCACAATCCGATACGGATAAAAGTCGTACAGAGGAGCGAGACATCACACTTTGCTTTCCATCACTTCCTGTCTTTTACCTTCTCAGACAAACTTCCAATATCCGGCAGAGATAAGTGCAAGTAATACAGAAGACGGTGACATGATATTTTGCACAGACGTCACGATGATCTCCTTTTACCATCATCCCATCGTCAGCTGCGCTCTCTGAAGGACCAGCCTTTTTCTCCTCTTCCAAGAGAAATGCAGAGATATCATTCAAATATATGTAGGTACCGTCAAGCCAGTAAAATATTTTCTTCCAGCAGGTGTATATTCTCTTCTGAGACACTTATGCGCTCTTTTCTACTCGTCAATGTGGTCATGATTAAATTGCTCTGCCATTCAGAAGCAGCTTCCCCCACCTCAGTCAGTATTTCTACTTACTGGAATATTGCTTTCCAATGAAGCATCACGGAAGTGCTTGTCCACATCCCAAGCTCCCTGCAAGAATCTGCCAAGACAAGAGAGAAAAATCACCAAAATAATGAAGTGAGGGGACAGACAAACAGACCACCAACACACGAGCATCTGTCAGCCAGAGGCTTACCTCCTTCCCCTGAATAAAACCTAAGATCATTATAGCTGTATTCGAGGCAATTTTCAGTCTAGATACAACGATCATGACCGTACATTCTGTTCAGGTGAGCTTCATGAAAATCTACAGGACAAAGAAGAACAAACAAACCACACTTTCATGACTTTCCCAGTTAAAAAATGATGTCCTCAAAACAGCGAAAACAAACACACAACCCACCGCGATAAGGACCTACTCGCAACAGGAGTTTTTCGCTCATTTCTGGGCGAAATTGCGGCCAGATGCATACAGGTGTGGCCGAAATTGCGGTCTGATGCACTTTGGAAAGTGCTCGTGTGAGTATGCCCAAGAAACATACAATTCGCTCCGAAGTATGAGACAATTCACAAGAGCAAGTTCACTGCACCTGTCCCGACAGCAATGCTTCTCACCCCAAAAGCGACTTCCAGAAAAGCAAGCTACTGGGGGTCCCCGATCGCCCTTTTCCCCCGTCCCACCTTTCATGGGGGTCCCCGATAGCCCTTTTCCCCTGACCCACCTTTTCCTATGGCCCACATACAATTGCACAACTGGCAGCCATACCTGGTAGTATTACAGAGGCATGCTCAGCCTATGATAAAGATGGGTCCAGGATGGGGATTGCTTTGACAAACAGCTGCCTGATTGCGAAAATGATAGCTGCAAGAGAACCAAGAGAAAGAACAAGGGCCTACTCACACTAGGGACTTTTTTCACTGAGCTCTGGACGTGATAGGGGTCAGATCAGCGAGGCCTGGCCGTAATTGCAATCAGATACATGAAGGAGAGTGCTAGAAAAAGCCCCTAGGAGAGGGAAGTCGTAGGGAGGAAGGACAGGGAGAAGCGAGAGATTGAAACCGAGCTACAGTCTCCATTACTTTCAAAATGAAAGTGTGGTAGTAGGGGAGAAGGTGAGGGAGAAGGGGGGTAGAAGGGGGGGAGAAACAAGTGTCCCAAATTGGGCTAAGGTCCCCAGGATTTTGTATGCATACACAACAGCGAAGTAAAAGAATGTGATACCGTGAAGAAGAAAGAAAACACGGTCATGGTTCCCAATAAGGTTACCCATCCCAGCTCCTCTTGCATTTGGTCAGCAGGAGAAATTGAAGATCTTCCTCTCCAAGACCTCGTCGTGTATGCGGACCACAACCATCGACCATCCGAACGAGTTTAATTCCCCCTCCGAACCTGGTTCCGCTACGGTTACCTTCACAATCCACTTTCAATCCCTTCGGCACATTCTAGAACGCATTACATCAGACAAATCCTCAACCGCTATGTTGTCTTTTCCATGTCTGATTATAGTCCTTTCTTCCGCCATACCCCATTCATCTCCAACTGGAGCGTGACATGTGCACAATCAGTCACTGAGAAATGTTTACACTCGAGGGTGTTCATAGCATTAAGTTCAGACCACCAGGACCTCCCAGCCTCTTTTTCCCAATGCAGACTTCTTCAGCACCACCATGGAAAAAAAAAAAAAAAAAAAAAAAAGATGAACGAGTGCAGATGCAGTTTTCTTTTTTCTTTGGGGAAGAAAAGGAAAAGTGCACCCCTTTTCCACACATGGACTGAAAGTTATCTGAAACTGCCTCAGTTTTTACTATTTAGTATTTTTTACCAATGCTTTTGACTGCCGTTACGATCCAGATTCATTTGAATCACATAAGTTACCCAAACAAATTTCCAGAGCCAGATTCAGTTCTCACCTCGCAGGTCTGCCCCATTCTCACACAGTGACCCAAACTACCTCAATTCACAGCCCATCATTTTTTCTTATAACCTACCCTTTTTATTTCACCATGGTAATGTCCAGATTCAGTTGAATAACACAAATTTCCCAAATGTCAATGCAAAGAGGTACATCCAGATTCAGTTCTCCTCGTGGGAGAGACGAAATGCAACCTTAAACGACCAGTATATGGCCCCAGACACCTGGAGAATCTGTTTTGAGCCTCTCTGGAAACTTATAGGAGGCCGAGCGCCGTAGATAAAATGAATCACCGGTGGGCGGCCTGCGAAAGGGGCCTGCCGTGGCCACTAGCTGGCATGTCCTGGTGGTTCAAACCAAAAACGCTTCCCACTTTTCTAGACATGGACCCCAACAACCAATTGGTCAATTGCACCCAATTCATTTGTTTTTTGAACTTTTTTCTCAATTCACTAGTTTTTACTTGCTTAACCTCTGTACATGGGTTCCAGCCCCGCATCCAGCACTTCAAAAGAATAACTAACCGTGTGTGTGTGTGTGTGTGTGTGTTGTCATATTCACTATCCACTCAAACAAAGAATCACTATGGCAGACTGTTTCGTGTGTGTGTGTGTGTGTGTGTGTGCGCGCCGAGCTTCGTCTGTTTCCCACCATGGTATCAGTCCTCAATCATTAGGCTCCATCAAAAATTGGTAGGCACTTCTCCTCAGGTAGCCACAGCCGACAGTGCAGCCATTTCTTTTCTTTTCCTGCACATGCATATGCATCTGGCCTCGAAAGTACCCTAGGTTCAATATATGGAGCTATAGCCAAATTCGGGTCCTCATCTTAAGGGAGACAAATGCGAAGTCAGTGCTTCCCTTTCTTAGAGGGAGCCAACTACCTCAATGGTCCACTCGTCAGTTTCTAGGTACTTCAACCTTTGTGTACATGGGCCGATTAAAAAGGCCCTTTCTTTTCCCCGCAACAGAAATATGATGCCCAGGTAAGATTCAGTCAAAGAATCAGATGTCCGCGCTCTCCTCTCCTTTCCCCTTTTGGGACACCCTCCCACGGCCCTTTCCTTAGAGCCCCCAGCCAATTAGCACGAACCCTTGACTGTGGGCGCTAGATTTCGCACACAAAACTGGCCCCATCACGCCAGACCAGCTCTGTAATGGCAGCACGACAGCGCTCAAGTAGGCTGGATAGCTAACACCCCACAGTACCACAGAGAGAACGGGTTCTCCATTGTTATGTTCCGAACGTCAACACTTAGTCTCGCAACATGAACCCCTTGGATCCCGGATCCAAATGACTACATGCTGCGACGGTAGTGTGGCTCAGCAATCTGCGACCACCCTCGGCTGATAAAAATCAGATACCAGGGGACGAAAAGAAGAGGGAGCATGACGAAACTTCACCTCCTGATCACCAATCCTTCAGTCTTCTTTTATGAAACAAAACCCCCATGCAAGAGAGATAATGAGAGTGGCAGTTCTATCATGACTTGACAGTATAGACATCTTTACATGATTGGACTCTTCTTCATGGGGACAGTTCTTGAACATCAAGTGCAATTCACAGGATGCCCAAAAGAGACTAGAGGATGAAAAGAAGAAGTATGAAGAAACTTCCCCTCCAGATCACCAATCCTTCCAAGTTTTCTTTCATGAAAGAACACCTCTATCCATAATGAGACCAGGGGTTCCATCATAGCTTGCCAATGTAGACATCTTTACACCATTACACTATTTTCGATGGGGAGGATTCTCAAAATCAGACAAGGTGCACAAGTGATATCAGCAACAAAACAAAAAGATGAGGCAGAGGGAAGATCGATAAACTCACTCCTCAACGTTTTCAAATCCATACTGCAGCGCAAGAGGCACCACGCCAACAGCACTACAAACTGAAAAAATCACAGAATCAAAGCACAACAGAGCGTTCTTTTAGACACAGCTTTGAGAGTTGAGTAAAAGTTGTTACCATCGAAAGGGGACAAACAACACCACATATTCATCCAAAAGGGTCATCGAAAGTTGTTAC